TTGTCCTCTCTGCGTTCTTCTGTCCCTGTCTCCCTCTCAGCGTCTTTCCTCTCTCTCCAATTTAGCGTCTCCTGGTCGCTCTGCGTCTCACATACACCCACCCTCCTCTGTCCCCTCTGTGTGTTGCGCGCGTGTCTCTCTCTCTGTCATCCTGTCTCTGTCCCCCCCGTTTCTCCACTCTCTCTCCCACCCACTCCTCTCGTGGTGCCTCCTTCCCATCTCTCTCTCTCGCTCTCCCTCCCTCCCTGTCTCCCTCCCCTGGCACTTTGCCAGTTGTAAGCCTGCACACTGAACCCCAGCTATTTATAGCCTGCTCAGGGTAAACACTCTGCCTGGCTGTTGAACAACGCGCGCTGTGGCAACACGCGTACACACGTACGGAGTCGCGCACACGCACGCGCGCGCATACGCACGCAGCGATGCACACGCCACATACGTGAACACAACACACGTACGCGTATGCAGTCCCAAAGCCACACACACTCACATTTCACTCACAGCTCATGCACCCAGTAATGTACACACTCATATATATACACGCAGGCACTCACACACAGTCACTAAGCGCACAACCTCACGCACGCGCAAAGGCGCCTGCAGTGTCACACACATACATGCACAACCGTGCACGACATCCATACACATCTCCACATACACATATTCACATACACATCGTCACGCATACATATATGCACCCAGACTGTCATATACACAGGCACAAAGATCCCGTCTTTATCTTTTAACAGACTGCTGGGGCAGTTGCTGTTAGCAAGCACCAAATGCAAAGACGAATAGCCCCCGTATAGCTTTTGTTGGACTGCTGGGGCAAGTGCTGTAAGGGAGCACCTATTAAGGCCGGCACGGCACACAAAGAAGTTGTATTACCAACACCATCGGTGCTGACGATAATAATACACCGCATCATGTACTCATTTATGGCTGAGTGAACCTAGGGGATGGCCAGGATTACTCATGTTAGCCATGACAGAGAGTTGAACCCAGATCACCAGGTTCATAGCACAGTGTGCTTAACCACGACATCACGACTCCCCACACAACTAATGCACACGCAGTCTCACGCACGCGCACACGTATTTTGACACATTATACACACAGACTCTCTTGCACAGTATCGCCGACATGAAGATACACCCACGCACACAGCCACGCACACACAGCCACACATCCTTAGCGTCACAGTCACACACACGCACACATACACCCACGCACTGTCATACGCATGCAGCCGCCCCCACATAGCCACATACATACACAGCCATGCACACCATCACACACACAGCCATGCACACAAAGACAAAGATCCCCCATATAGCCTTAACCGACTGTTGGGGCAAATACTATTAACGAGCACCTATGAAGGCCGGCACGGTACATGGGTGGGTGGCCAGCACCACGCTCGACTGCCTTTGTCTCCCCAACGGCGATGTTTTTACACAACGCACCAGGTACTCATTTGAGGCTGAGTCGATCGAGGGGAGGCAAAGGACCGGTTCCGATAATCGTCACTGGTGATGGCCGTGAGCCGGAATTGAACTCGGGTCGCCGGATTCGTAGCGCAGTGCGCTAACGACGACGCCACCGCTCCCCACGCACGCGCAGCATTTATACGCACTGCTGTTCACGGTACGTCTCAAACAAAGGAAACCGCTGTGATGCTGTAGACATTGGGTAAACGAAAATAAGGAAATTGTTGTGTTATTCATACCTCGTAAGTAACATGTTGCATTTTCCTCCCATGGGATTTTATGAATTACGTCACACACCGTATTAATAGTAATACACGACTGTAATAATTTACCCTGCATCGGTACTAATGTTACGGTACATATGGAATGTATGAAATTGTTTCTAATTTCCGGGCACGACTTGCCCTCGTCACGGTGATGATAATAGTGATATTATTATTATTATTGGGCTTGTCTTGGCATTGCATAAGTAATGCAAGTGTTTGTGATTTTCTAATAGTCCTGTTTGTCCATGTGCTATACCACATGTATACGTGTGTGTGAAGACGCCATCTCAGTGTCGTTTTTGTAAAATATTTGGCTTTTGTATTGAACAATGCGTCGTCCCTGACCAGTCTGAATTTGGCATTGATTTTTTTTCCCTCTCCCCCTGTGTTTGCCTTACGGAGCCCTTTAGGAGAAATGCTTAAATGCCAGATGCACTGGTTGGGTGGCTGGGCTGCGTTGGGAAGATGGGTTGGGGTGGTTGGGCTCTATTGGGTAGATGGGCTGGGTGGCTGGGCTGTGTTGGGTAGATGGGTTGAGTGACTGGGTTTGGTGACTGCATTTGGTGACTGGGTTGAGCGATTATGTGTGGTGACTCGCTTGAGTGGCGGGGTTTTCTGACCAGGTTTAGGTGGCCAGGTGTGGTGACTGGGTTAGGCGAGTTTTATGGCTGATTTTCGTGGATGGGCTGAGTAGCTGAAATGAATGGCTGCGTTTGGTGGGTGGATGTGGTGGAATGGGTTTGGTGGCTGGGTTTGGTGGCTTAGTTTGGAGGCTGGATTTGGTGGCTGAGTTTGGAGGCTGGGTTCGGTGACTGGGTTCGGTGGCTGGGTTTGATGGCTGGGTTTGGTGGTTGGGTTTGGAGCCTGGGTTTGGAGGCTGGGTTTGGTGGCTGGGTTTGGTGGCTGGATTTGGTGGCTGGGTTTGGATGCTGGGTTTGGTGACAGGGTTTGGAGGCTGGGTTTGGTGGCTGGATTTGGTGGCTGGTTTTGGAGGCTGGGTTCAGTGACTGGGTTTGGTGGCTGGGTTTGGTGGCTGGGGTTGGTGGCTGGGTTTGGTGGCTGGGTTTGGTGGCTGGGTTTGGAGGCTGGGTTTGGAGGCTGGGTTTGGTGGCTGGGTTTGGTGGCTGGGTTTGGTGGCTGGGTTTGGAGGCTGGGTTTGGTGGCTGAGTTTGGTGGCTGGGTTTGGTGACTGGGTTTGGGGACTGGATTTGGTGGCCGAGTTTGGTGGCTGGGTTTGGAGACTGGGTTTGGTGGTTGGGTTTCGTGGCTTGGTTTGAATGGCTGTGTTTGATTGGCTGGGTTTGGTGACTGGGTTTCTTGGACGGGTTGAGTGACTGGATTTGCTGACTGTGCTAAGTGACTTGATTTGGTAGATGGGTTTGGCGGCCAGATTTGGTGGCTGGGTTTGAATGGCTTGGTTTAGCGGCAGGGTTTGGTGGCTGTATTTGGCAGCTGATTTTCCTGCCTGGTTTGGTCAGGCGGTGGGAAGGCCCCCTCCGGTGCTAAGGGTGCTAAAATTGTCATTATTTAATTGATTTAAAAGTTCCTGGAGTGCCTGCCACAGGATGGATTTCAATGGTTGCTAGTCGGAGTTTGTTGGTGACCAACTTTTGAAACGAATTTTAACATAAGTACTAAGTGAATCCCAGTATTTAGAGGCTCAGGGGATTTCACAGGTAAACCGCTCATTATGACACGGCTATCATTACCATTGCGAGCCTGGCAGCGGGCAGTGCCGCCATGCTCTCGACTCGCTGGATTCACACGTGACCTCGTGTCCTCTGTGCTGATTAATTAGCTGTGTGTGTGCACCTGACCACTCGATCACATCGATGTGCCACTGTGTGTGTGTACGCATTTATGCTCACTTGTGGATATGTATATGTACGCACATGTATTTATATACAGGCAGAGCCCCGGGTTACAGAAGGGTTATGTTCCCGAGAACTATCCGTAACCAGAATATTCCGTTTGTCGGAAACTGAATAATTTTCCCCCCAAGATCAAGATAAAATCCCATAGCCGGAATTAGCTATGAGTGACAAAGGACGTAATTGTTAGACGAGGAAGAAGGAGAGGAGACAGGCATTCCATTATCGGGGTCAACATCAGCAGTCGGAGGTTCCAAAGGCAGGGCTGCGTCTCCCTCTGCAGCCCTGCAGAGGGAGCTGCAGCCCTGCCCTCACGCCTCGCTCCCGCGGTATTCATCCGCAACCTCACCGCGCTGCACTATTTACGCTTTCGTAACTAACGCCAACATTTCCGCATATCGATGTTTTTGGTAAGTCGAGTCTTCCGTAACCCGGGGACTGCCTGTGGTGTCCGTAGAATTATGCACATTGAGTGATTTACCTATGACCAAATAATTGGCAATGCGCCTGATCTCATGAGATCTTAGAAACTAAGCAGGATTGAGCCTCGATATTACTGGCATGGGTAACCACTGTGCATCACAGGTACTATAGGCTGTGGGGCTGCGTGGCAGGTAGCAGAGGGCCAATGTAGCAAAATCCACTGTTGTACTGCACTCCAATGCTCCCACATCTATGCTGCCCGTCTTCATCAACCGGCACTGATCAGTGTGGTGAAGTATGGTCAAATAACCCCCACACTTAGTATGGCTTGGGGAGGCCTTCATCCAGCAGTGGATTGACAAAGGGCTGTACTTATGCATTGAGTGATTATTAGGTTTGAGTTTCCTATGCAACAAAAAGACCTGAGTTTGACTCCTGGCCTCTGGCCCTGTGGATCACGCTTACTCACCTGGCCAAGCCTCACTGAGACTCTTTTTCAGGAGGGCCTTTTAATTGGGAATTGTATACCTTGTTATGCAACGATATACACTGGACATAAAAGAGCACGTTGCATTGTAATTGTGCGCATTGGATGTAAGAGACAAAATGCGTAACTCATTTGTGTGTGTGGGGAGCGGTTGCGTAGCGGTTAGTGCACTTCGCTACGAACCCGGCGACCCGAGTTCGATTTCCGCTCACGGCCAACACCAGTGACGATTATCAGAGTTGCTCCTGGAGCTCCCCTAGGTTGACTCAGCCTCAAATGAGTACCTGTTGTCGTGTGTAAAAATTGCCACTGGGGAGACAAAGGCGGCCGGGTGTGGTGCTGGCCATTCACCCCCTCGTGTGCCGTGCCGGCCTTCGTAGGTTGTCACTAACAGCGCTTGCCCCAAAAGTCTGTTGAGGCTACAGGGGGAATGTTTGTCTGTGTGCGTGCATTGCTTGCGCCGCAGAGGAGAGCGTTTCTCCGTCTCCGCACGGAGGAGCGCGTGACGGCAGCGGCGACGAGCACACGGACCCCGGAGGCGTTGGTGGCGCGGCCCCCCAGGACAAGAGCCGGCGCGGACGGACCCCCCGAGACTCGCCCGGGCAGCAGGCGCAGCATGCGCAGCACACTCAGGCACGCACCAGCAGCAGCAGCACACCAGCAGCAGCAGCACACCAGTGTTTGTGAACGTGCGCACACATGTGTGTCGGTGCGTGCAAGCATCGGTGTGCGTATGTGTGTGTAGTCGTGCAATCATTGCTGTGTGTGTACTGTGTGTACATACACACACAGTGCGGAGCGGTAGTGTAGTAGTTAGCGTGCTGCACTACGAACCCGTGCGACCCAAGTTCAATTCCCGCTCACAATCAACAGCAGTGATGATCATCTGAGCCGGTCCTGGGCCCTGGTACGATGTGTAAACATCGGCACTTGGGAGACAAAGGCCGGGTGTGGTGCTGCCCGTGCCGGCCTTCGTCGGCGCTCGCTAACAACACTTGCCCCAAACAATCTGTTCAATGCTTTACGGGATTTCGTTGTCTGTGCGTGTGTGCGTGCGTCGTTCCAGGCGTGCAGCCAGTGCGGGAAGGCATTCCGTAGCGGCAGTGCCTTGAACAAGCACTACCTGTCGCACAGCCAGGAGCGCAAGCACGTGTGCGAGGTGTGCCACAAGGCCTTCAAGCGGCAGGATCACCTGTGAGTGCCATGCTGGTCTCGCACTCACTTAGGCCTCCGCCGGCATTATCGTCATCATCGTCATCACCAATCTCCATGACTGTTATCATCGCCGTCACACATCGCCCCCTACTGGCAGGCTGATACCACTTACAAACCAGCCCGCCGTACAAATTGTGCCGCACAGGGACAGCCGCCGCCGGCGGTGCTCTTCGCGTGCACGTATTTGCGCGTGCGTACGTACGTGCCCGCGCGTGTGACACCAGTCTGCCGTGCCACCGACAGGGCGAGCCACATGGTGACGCACCAGAAGAGCAAGCCCTTCTCCTGCTGCGCCCAGGGCTGCCTCAAGAGCTACTGCGACCTGCGCTCGCTCAAGCGCCACTACGAGTCCCACCACAAGCTGCCCTACCCGCCCGAGGGAGGGCAGCCCTTCCCCGCCACCTCCCCCGCCGTCGCGCGCTCCGAGCCCCACCAGCCGCCTCCCGACGGGTGCCCCACCGACGCCAAGGCTCCGCTTAACGGCCTCGACCCTCCGTCGCACTGCCCCGACGACGATCCCACGACACGGCTGTCGCCGCCGCCGCCGCAGCAGCAGCAGCGCCAGCACCGGCCGACGGGCGACGCGGCACAGACCCTGGACTCCGCCGGCCCGCCGGACGACCCCGGGGCGTTCCAGCTGCGCGTCGTGAGCGTGACGGTCAGCGCCGAGTACACGGAGGGGGTTGCGGCGGCCCAGCCGGACGCCGGTTTCCCGCCGCTGCCGGGGAGCGGCCACGGCTTGCACCTCGCGCCGGCCATGCCGCCTGCGCCGCTGGCGCCGCACGATTCCCAGAACCACGCTCCGCCGATGCTGCGGCAGCAGCAGCAGCAGCAGCAGCCGGACGGCGTGGGCTCTGCGCGCACGCCGGAGCTGCTCTCCGTGCCCAAGCTCCTGGAGCCGGCGCGCCCCGCCAGCTGGCCCCACCCGGCCGCCAGCCAGCTCCTGCTGGCGCCCCCGGGCGAGCCCCCGCCTCCGCCTCCACCGCCCCTCCCCCCGCCCTCGCAGCACGGCCCGTGGGCGGCGGCGTCGTTGACCCAGGGGGCCGGGGTCGGCGACCGCCTCCTGCCCTCGCTGCCCGCGGGCGCCGATGGGGCGGCTCCCTCCCGCAGCGGCCAGAAACTGGACTCGTTTGTGCAGGCGTTCGCCAAGAGGAAGCCGGCCGTGCCGGGCGCAGTGCCGAGCAGCGCGCCGGGCCCGCCGCTCCTCCTGTCGGCGTTCGGGGAGGGCGACCTCGGCGACCTCGGCGGTGGCGGCGCCGTTGCGCGGCGGGCGGCAGCCATGGAGCAGCTGTCGCCCGTCGGGGCGCAGCAGTTCACGCTGGCTCCCGCGCACGGCTGTCATCAGGCGCAGCAGCAGCAGCCGCCGCCGCCGTACGCGCTGCAGGTGCAGGGTAGTCTCCCTGCACCGTTCCACAACCAGCAGCAGCAACAGCAGCAGCCACACGATGCGTACAGGACACACGAGTTCCAGCAGATCCAACAGCAGCTCCTTCATCAGCATCATCATCACCCTCACCATCATCACTCGCACCATCAGCTGCAACAACAGCAGCAGCAGCAGCAACAAACTATGCAGACTTTGGAACAATCCTGGCAGCAGCAGCAGCAGCAGGTGCAGCCAGCAATGGCGCAACACAAGATAGAAGCCATACAGCAGCAGCAGCAGCACTTTCCGGCAATGTCCCTCCATCAGCAACCTCAGCACGGTTACCTCCGGCTGGCGCCGCAGGCGACGCAGGCGTTTGCGCCGGCGCCCGCAGAGCGTCCGCCGGCCTCCGAGTCTGGCGAGCCCCCGAGGCTCGGGAAGCCGGGCGAGGCGCGCCGCACGTACGGCGCCCACTTCCTGCAGCCGCCGGTGCTGGGGCAGCACGCGCTGCGCCCACCCCACGGCGGCGCCAAGCAGGTGCAGCAGCACACGGCTAACACGCAGGTACGTGTCAGTGTCTCGCCGGGGAATGAGAAGGGGATGAGCGAGTGAGGCGGGCAATGTATGTGCGTATGTTGAACTTCTGTGGCGCCGTGCGTAGCCGACCATGCTAATCGGAGTTCCGGAGGAAGGGCAACAAACTTAACACATAAAATAAATAGTGACAATTTTGAAGATTTGACAATGACCAAAATATGCTTAACACTAATGACCTGCTTACTAACCATCAAAACATGATCTGGTTTACAAATGGAAATGTCTCTGTCTCGAGACATTGGCATAATTCGAACGTAGCTTTAACAACCCCCATTACCCCCTACCCACCAAAATGGAAAAAAATGTTGGAAGATAGTGAGGGCATATGTATGTATGTTGAACTTTTTTCGCACTGTGCATAACTGACCATGCTAATTGGAGGTGCAGGGGAAGGACACCCATCTGAAAGTGTGCGATGCTGTGACCGTCTATGTTTGATGGATAACCAAAAGCCGCTGCGAGGATGACCGGAGTTCGCATGATGGTGTATGCTCCTTGACAAGAATGAGTGAGTTAGTGAGCGAATTTTGTGGGAGTTAGTGACTTGTGTACGTGGACAGGCAGGCGGGCTGGCGAGCCAGTAGGCGAGTAAGCGACGGAGCAAGTGACCCAGCGAATAATTGAGAGACTTAGTGATTAATTGAATGAGTGGGGTGAAATGGTCAGTGAATATGGGAGTTGATGAAGTGGTAAGGTGAATGAGTGAGTATGTGAATGATGGTGAAAATTAGTCAATGAATGGGTGAATCGGTGAGTTGAGTTAATGGGAGAGAGAATGAGTTGAGCGCCATCGGGCGCTCACTAACGACGTTGAGAAGCCCACCCCTACTGGACTGACCCACCCCAATTGGACATCTGTGAAAAATAGCTTCATAGCTCGTTAAACTTCTGCAGGATAAATAGGGCCCCACGGTGGCGAGATGTTATCTCCCTCGCCTGGTATACAGGAGGTCGTGGATTCGATCCCGACCCTGACTCCTGCTGTATATTTGGAGTTTGCGTGTTCTACTTGTGGTCGTATGTATTTCCCCCCCCATTTTTCCCTCCATATTTAGAAACATGCTTAGAGTATTTGCCTGCTAGAAATGTCCACATAATAAGCCACTTCGAGCTATGGTCCTTTACCTAATACAAAGAATAATACAGTAGATCATCGATTGTCTGGCAGCTTTAGGAGGAAGGGGGCGCCGGAGTTTCAAAAATGCCGGATAATCACATCATTATTTAGAATAGCTTATTTTTGCACATTATTGCATAACATTATGTTTTTTAGGTGTATGTGTATTAGTGTTTTAAATGTTTTACTATATGAAATTGATATAAACAAATAGACAAAAATAAATATCCTACTGTTAAAAGTTACTGTATTTACCGTACTTACCACTCCATTCCACGAACACTCTGCATGAGGTGATGTACCTCATGCTCTTGTTCCAACTTCCATGTGTTCGGCCAGCGACGGACGAGTACAGCCTTTGGAGCGGTTTTGCCGGTTTCGCCGGATCGGCCCCGAACCGCCAGATAATGTTGGAAGCCGGATAATCACGCACCGGATAATCTATGATCAACTGTTGTCGAGTTTATAGTTTTACGTACCTTCTATCACGGTCACCCATTTCTCATCCCTTGCACGCCTCTTGACATCTAAATAATTTCATGCTTCAAAAAATGTTTTGTTTGATTCTGATTCTGGCTTTGCTCGTGCGGCTTGTGCAGTTCCAGCCAGTGGCGGGCACGGCGGGGCCCGGCCCCATCTCCGTGCGCCACCTCCTGTCGTCGCGCCTCCTTGCCCTCTCCGCTCACCGTCCATCGGCGCCGCCCGACGGCTCCGCGCACGGCCACACCTGGGCGCAGGTGAGTGTGGGGCCCGAGGCTTGGCACGTCCGGTATGGTTCCCTCTACAACCAGCCAGATGGAAGTGCCGTGTGGTTAAAGAACACCGGAGCGCGTGTGAGTGTGGCGTCTGCGACTGGGGCGTGTGTGAGTGTGGCGTCTGCGACTGGGGCGTGTGTGAGTCTGGCGTCTGCGACTGGGGCGCGTGTGAGTGGTGTGCGTGACTGAAAGCTGCGGTTTGGCATGAAGGCCTCGCTCTGAATCGGTCGAGTGGCATTAGTTGCGTAACGTTGTGTGGAAGATACCTGGCCTATCACTTCATCCAAAGCTCTGGGTCTTCTCAGCCACAGTTATGCCCTCCCCTTTTTATGCTTGCAAAACGTGGAGCCCTTTAAAGGAACATCAGCACTGGTTTGAAACATTCAGGCTGCCCTGCCTACAATCAATCCTGGGTTTCACCAAACTGGGTTGTGTGAGGAGTTCACAGACCCTTTAAATATCTGGACACAAATCCCATGAGTATGCTCCTCCGGCAGATGAGACTGCATTGGCTTTGGCTGGGTCATGTAGCCCGCATGCCCAGCTACCGCATGCCCAAGCAGCTTCTGTGTGGCCGCATAGAGGGGGATAAACAGGTGCGGCACGATCTAGAGAAGAGATGGACTGATGCGGTACAGGAGGATGTGGAGCTGAGTGGACTTGCCTAATGCCAGTACCAGCGGTGTCAAGATTGGCCTCTGTAGAGGAGGCTCGTGAAGGACGCTCCTGGGCAGTTGGAGGCAGTCGCCCTCCAACAACAGCAGAGGGTGGAGGGAGGAGCAACATTCACAACAATGAGTGTCGGGTGGATAAAAGACAGCAAGTTGGCACAGTGGGGAAGGTGGTGCATCTGCCACCAGTCATCTCAGTCCGTCAACCCATAATGCCTGTGTCTGTCTCGTGAAAGGCACAGCGAACCTTCCTCACTTAATGTAACAACCTTAAAGTGCACCTAGCCTGGCACAAACTCTGTGGTGACATCACTTAGTGGCAAATGTGAGGGTTGTTGTTTTGTGACTGCAGAGCGTGCGTGTGACTGTTGCACTTATCTGCAAATGCGCTGACAAAGTTGCAAGTGACCGCGTCCTGCGACCTCATCACGTGACTGTGTGACTGCGTCACGTGACTGCGCCGTGTGCAGGGCCAGCAGAACTCGGTGCCCCCGCTGCCGCCGCACCACAAGCCGACGTCTCCCGACAGGTGGAGTGAGGCGCCCTCTGCACCCTCGCATCGCCCCCCGTCCGGCAACCACTCGGCATCTTAGCATTCAGTGCCTGCAGCCGCCCTTTCACGACCAAACTCCCTCGCACAACGGGGATTAGCAGAGCGTCCGTGTGTCTGGATTGGTGATTAATACCTTACGATATAAAATAAAACTGTTTTACCAGGTTGGGCCAATCTGAGCTATGTAGGTCTTTTTCAGAAGCGACTTGGCCGCAAATGACAGCTCAACAAAGTGGCGTATGTGGACGTTTAGAGCAGCCAACGACTCTAAACGCACGTTGATTATAATTGTGGAGGAAAAACTGGAGGATCCGGAGAAAAATCCACGCGACCACGGGGAGAGAACATGCAAATTCCAAATATACAGGCGTCAGGGTGGAATTTGAATCCATGCGAAGTAGTTAACACCTTGCCACCATGACGCCACGGTGGAGAGATGTCGATATGAACCCCGCACCCTGGGTTTGATTACTGGCTGTGGATAATGTCAGCTGATAATGGTTCTGGGCTTCTCCTAGATGGACTCCGCTTTAAATGGGTGCCTGGTGTGGTCTGTCAATGTTAGCACAGGGGAGACAAAGGGGAGTGAGCTCCACGTTTGAATTTGGAAGCGTCTGTCTGTGTGTATGTGGGGAGCAGTAGTGTAGCGGCTAGGGAGCTGCGCTACGAACCCAGCGACACAGCCAACAACAGTGACGATTATCTGAACCCTCTCCTAGGCCTCCTCTCGGTCGACGTGGCCTCAAATGAGTACCTTGTGCGGCGTGTCATAATATCGCCACTAGGTAGACAGAGGTGATGGCCACCCACCCCTTCGTGTGCCATGCCGGACTTAATAGGTGCTCGCTAGCAGCACTTGCCCCAACAGTCCATTGAGACTATACCGGGGGGGTCTTTGTCTGCGTGCAGCGTGTGGGTGGCTGGCGACGGCATGGAACGTGCGGCCCTGGCGTGCGCGTTGTGCGGCCGTGCCTTCCGCAGCCTCCCTGCGCTCAACGGTCACATGAGGCTGCACAGCGCGCGGCCACCCGCCCACGCCGCCAGGGTGAGAGATCGGACGCCGCCACCGCCTCCATTCCCATCGCCCGCTGTTCCCCCCGTCGCCGTTGCTCGTGCTCACGGTCGTCGCCGTCTCGTCCTTGGCAGGATACGGACGGCGCGAGAGCCCCCGCCGCCGTGGACGCGCGGCCCCGCGGCCTCGAGCCGGCGCCGCCGGCGTCCGCGCCCGTCCTGGCCGCCCCCCTCCCGCTTTCCCAGCATGCCTTGCGCACAGGCGGAGAGGGCGACGGGAACGGAGCGGTCGCCGTGAAGGCCGAGCCCGAGACGCCGCCCGTGTCGCCGCCCGCCGGAGCCGAGAAGGTGGCGGCGCCGCCCAACGGGGACCCCTGCGCGGTGAGGTTTACGCATCGCACCCACCGCACTGCGCCCCGCGCCACACCGCGTCCCACCACATATCGCGGGGCTGCACCTTTGCTTCTTAATATTTAATTTAAATTGCCATCCACTAGGGGACCCTCGGCCTCAAGAGCCACCCGGGAATGATTCCGGGCCTCGCGATCGGCAACGGGGGTGGCGCTCCCGGCTCCACCGTGACCCCCACCGCCCGCACCACCGACACGCAGCAGCAGCAGCGCAAGCAGCGGCCGCGGCCCCAGCCGCTCATCCTCCCTCCGGCGGCGGCGGCGGCGTGCGGGGCGCCCCTGCCGGGCCTCGGGGGGCTGCCCCCCCAGCAGCAGCCGCCCCCCTCGGGGGGGCTTCCCCAGCCGCCGGTGCTCTACCAGAGCCAGCTGCGTTCGCCGCGCCTCGCCGAGCTCATGGAGCGCTCCCCGCTGGAGCCGCCGCCCTACACGCCGCCGCCCATGCTGAGCCCCGTGCGGCAGGGCTCGGGCCTCTACTTCTCCACGCTGCTGTCGGCCTGTGCCGGCGGGGGCGGCGGCCCGGGGCCTCCGCCCTCGCTACTCACGCCCAAGGCGCCGGCGACGTCGCGAATCCTGCTCAGCCGCTCCAGTGAGTGGCTCTTTGCCCCACGTCGTCATTCCATTGCCAAGGATGGAGGCCGTGTGGAGAAATGAAGACCGCAAAATGTCACCGCAACGCTGACGCTCGCTGCATGTGTACTTGCCGTGTGATGGCCGTGCGTGCAGGCAGCTTGGAGAGCTCTGGACCTTTTTCCTACTATGGAGACGACTCCTCCATCAGCATCGAGCCGTGAGTTGCTCCACCCATGTGTCCATTGTGCCTTGTGTGCATGTGTGTGCATGGGTGCATCAGTGTAGCAGTTAGCGCCCTGCGCTACGAACCCGGCTACACGTGTTCGATTCTCGCTCACGGCCAACACCAGTGACGATTATCTGAACCGATCCTGGGCCTCCCCTAGGTCGACTCAGCCTCAAATGAGTAGTTGGTGTGGTGTGTAAACATCGCCGCTGGAGAGACAAAGGCGGCCGGGCGTGGTGTTGGCCTCCACCCCCTTGTCTTCCGTGCCAACCTTCATAGGTGCTCATTAACAGCGCTTACCCCTAAAGTTTGTTCAGGCTATACAGGGGACCTTTTTCTTTGTCTTTGTGTCTCTAGGTGGGGAGCGGTGGTGCAGTGGCGAATATTTGAACCGATCATGGGCCTCCCCTAGGTCGACTCAGCCTCAAATGAGTGCCTGTTGCAGTGTGTGAATATTGCCACTGGGGAGACAAAGGCGCCCGGGCGTGGTGCTGGTCACCCACCCCCTCGTGTGACTTGCCCACCTTCATAGGTGCTCGCTAACAGTGCTTGCTCCAACTGTCTATTAAGGCTATAAGGGCGATCTTTGTCTTTGTATGACTGTGTAACGCTTACGAGTTCATTGTCAGTGTGGATGCCTGTGTGTCAGCTGATTGCCTAAACTTCTCGCCCCAAACAGCCTGTAAGACTACGCGCGTTGGGGGGGGGGGGGGGGGGCGGAAATCTTCTTTGCCTTTGTTTAGGCGCATCAACATCGGCACGCGGTTCCAGGCGGAGGTGCCGGGGCTGTGTGACCGCGGTGCGCCGGGCGGCACGCACGGCGCCGACTTGCTGTGGCAGCCGTGGCCTTCGCTGGAGGACGACCCGGCTACGCAGCGCCAAGGTGCCGCTCCCACTGCCGCAGCCCTCTCACCGAGACCACCGGGACGACTCGCCGCAGCGGCGCGTGCGGCCAGCGCGCCCGCAGTCCCTTTCCGTTGTCATCGTCGTCATTATTATTTTTCCGTTTTTTGTGTTGTTGTACAACGCGTCACTGGTTTCTGCGGGAGGGTGACAGAGAAACCGCTGCGGTGGGTGGGGAGGGGGGTGAGGGGAAAAGGGTCGGGGGAGGCAGTGAGCAGCATTCCATGGGGAGATCGGGTGTGGGGAGAGGGGTGGAAAAGAAACAGGCTCTAGATCGTCCAACATACACGTGTCTTTATGTGTCGGGGTGACAACCGATTTTTCAGTTTTTTTTATTTACGCAGGAGAGCCTCAACTCTTTTTCAAGAGCGTCCCGCTAAGTTATCGCGATTGGCTCGTGTTTCACGATTAAGCAATTAGCCGGTAATATTTTCAAAACTTGGCCTACTCTTTCATGTCCACCTTAAATCAAACGTGGTGCACTTGATGGTCAATACACCCGCAGCATCAATCAAGGCGGTCTGCTGCATCGGAACTTCGAACCTCTGCAACAAGTGGTGAACGCTCTACCACTGGGCTACGTCACCGCTCTCACCAACAATCAGGTTCCGTTAAAAACTTTAGTTTATACGGAGCCTCGGAGACCCTCGCGCTAACAAGTATAAACATTCACAAATTGTCGGTTGGATTGGGCCCTCTGACGAATGTTGGGAGTGTAATTCTTCTTCCGTATGGCTGATGATGTAAATACAGAGCAACAACTACAATTTCACGTTCAGGTGGTCAAACCAGACAACCGCGTCAGGAGCAGCGGAGCGTATCACCACCGCGATGTCTTCTTCGTATTTGTGGATCGGGCATTGCGTCATTATGCGTTGTAATAATTGTGTAATAATTATGCCACTTTGGCCTCCGGGGCTGTGACAAGTCGATTCGCAGCAGGGCAGCTCCACAAATGAGGCAACCTCCGTCAGCATTTAAAAAAGTTTTCCTTGTGAAACACGTGGTAGTTTTAGAAATTTGGCTGAATTTCGGAATGGCTTGGCGTGTGCACACAGATAAAAACAAGTGTGTTTGTCTGAGTACGCCCGTCACAATGGTGGTTGAAGCGTTTTATCTTTCTTTTTAAGAAAGGTGGACAGTCAAAATGGATGGTTAACATGACATTCGCAAGGACACCAGGTGGTTTAGGGAGGCCTTCATCCAGCATTAATTGTTCATGGCTGATTATGGTGATGATGATGACCGCTCAATTGATTTGTCTGTATTGCTTTACGTCGATATTGATTTCCTGCATCGTCAAAGTGTGTAAAATGGAACTGCCCTGCTGAGCAGCAACATTCAGCGATTGCCACTGATAAAGCCTTTTGCTAAGGTCAGGTTCACGCCATGCGTGTTTTAATATATACCGAATAAAAAAATATGTTGCATGTTTTTTTTTTACATGAGTGTAGGCAAGCCCTATTTAAACAGCTTGGAATTTTGGGACCTTCCCCCTCCCATGGGAAGTTTCGCCTCTCACGTGCCGTGTAAATGATTGCCATGTGAATGCCGTGCAATTGCCGTGTGATTCCGAATCCGAATATTTATTTATATCCGTTTAACTTCTTTCGTGCCGTACGTAGCCAACGGTGCTAATCGGAGGTGCGTGGAAGGACGACAAACTAAACACAAAAAGCAGTTCTAGAGATATGAGTTTTCCAAAGAAATCAGTTTTCATCCCATGAGCTTCATAGGAGGAATCCGATGAGCCACGAAGCTCTTTTTTCACAGATGCACGGTAGGATCGCCATGTAAATGCCGTGCGGTTGCCGTGTTAATTGCGCGCGCGGTCCTCCCACTTGACCCCCTCCCCCCCCCCCACCCCCCAGTGGAGCAGCTTCTGGCACTGGCTTCGTCGAGTGCCGTGCCGGGCGGCGGCACGAACCGCGAGCTGGCGCTGCACGTGCTGCACCAGGCGCGCGGCGACGTGCTGGTGCGTACGGGCGTGGGAAGACAGACAGCTATTTTTAGCTATCTATTTTTATTTACTAGGTAAGGCCCACTGGGCTATATAGCTCGTTTTTTTTTTTCAGAAGCGACCTGGCCACAAATCATAGCTCAACAAAGTGGCTTAACATGTGGAAATGTATAGCAGCCAAATACTATAGATACATAGTGAACGTGGAGGGAAAACCCAGAGGAACTGGAGAAAAATACACACGACCACGGGGAGAGAGAGACACGCAAACTCCAAATACACAGGTGTCAGGGTTGGGACCGAACCTACAACCTCCTATAAAACAGGCGAGGGAGATAACATATCGCCACCGCAGCGTGCTATCTAGCAGTGGCTTGGCAATGGGCTGCAACGTGTGCCTCCAGCATTGTGTGTGTCCTCCCGCAGGCCGCCTTGAAGACACTGCTGTCTGGAGAGGTGACGCCTTGGCAGGGCCCTCACCTGCGCGGGTACCACTATGCAGGTGCGTGCACGCGAGCGGCAAGCCACGGCCACACGCGGGGGGGCGGAGCGGCACGCATGACCACTCTGCACATGTAACCAGACCTGGCTGTGGTGTGGCAACCACTCAGATTTAGTTTGGTGGGGACCACAATGCACTTCTTCAGGAAATGCTATTGGTGTTTTTTGCATAACCACAGAGGCCGTGTGCTCTGTACTGCACAGCGTACACACCCGGTGCAGCACATGTAATCACACAGCGTGTAAACGCAACCGCAACACACATGCACAACCACAGAGCACAACCACGGGATCCAACCACAACCATCCGCACGGCCGTGCACACGACACGGCACACAACAACATCTTGCACAGTCGTACAGTGCACACAGTACCAACACACACAATCACACAACACAAGCACACACAGCTGCACAGCATATGCAACTATAGAGCATGCAAACACTGCCACACAACACACAGACAAACACAACCACAAAAAGACAAAGATACCTCGTATATCCTTGACAGAATGTTGTTAGCGAGCACCTATGACGGCCGGCACGGCACGTGAGGGGGTGGGTAGCCAGCACGATACCCGGCCGCCTTTGTCTCCTTATTGGCGATGTTTACACAATGCACCAGATACTCATTTGAGGCTGAGTCGACCTACGTCGAGGCCCAGGACCGGTTCAGATAATCGTCACTGGTGTTGGCCGTAAGCAGGAGTCGAACTCGGTTCGCTGTTTTTGGCGCGCAGCGTGCTAACCGTGACACTACTGCACACACAACCACATGCACAATCATTGACGGATATTATCTTACGAACAGTACACGGGGTAAATTCGATTGGTCTTCAACATTAAACTGTCCCAGAAGCCCTACCGACACCGCAAACAGAGATTCTACCAAGTGATCAGCTGTCATTTTAACCATATTCAAAGTTCAAAGCTGATTCCCAACCCTGTCATTCTTCATTTTGGACTCAAAGCCCCCCGACCGACAAAAAAAACCTCAACATTTCAAACTTTTAATGCAAGCGCCCGAGAAAGCCATCATTTACCTGGTAAAATTAAAAATAGTTGATAGTTTAATCTCCACGAGACACCTTGAGACGCCATGTCCATTGAGGTGTTGTTGTGTCTGCGTGCGTGCGTGTGAATATGCGCGCACAGGCTCAGACAGCTGGAGCAAGCAGGAGAAGAAGCAGTTTGTTCGCGCGATGATGGCGCATGACAAGGACTTCCTGCTGGTGCAGAAAGTGGTACGGAGTGGCCCGGTGGGGGAGGGGCACAGGGAGGTTGGGGGGGGTGGGAGCACGGGGGAGGGGGGGTGGGAGCATGCGACAGGAGGGGGGTGATGTGAAGAGACAGGAGGAGAGACTCGTAATGTTGCAGCGGGACATCGCTGTGCTTGGTCTCCGCTTTGCTTCCATTCGTTTTATTTGAAAATTAATTAAATTGGTTCACCAGGAAAAGGCCAGTGAGATTCAAGATCTCTTAAGAAGCAGGCGGCCTCCCAAAACGTCTGAACCACTCGGTCACTTTTGAAAAATGGGACTCTCCTTGTCTCTCGAGTTCTCACCTGGTTATGAGCAAAATCAACTTTAAAAAAACTAGAACAGACAAAAGGAGGTGACAAGGAGAGCACTACAAACAGCGGCGCGGTGGAGACCGCGCCGAGTCCAGCTGCCCTCTTCCACCCTGCGAGCCACAAGCAGCCCCTTTGATCAGGACCTCGTCTACCCCGTGTCTAGAGGACGTGAAGGTGGGCACGTTGAAAAGAGAGCTCCCCTGAATATTGGGGAGCTCTCTGTTGTTTGCAAGCACCTATTAAGGCCTGTACGGAGCACGAGGGAGTGGTGTGGCCAAGCTACATGCTGTATTTGTCTGCCCAGTCAGTGGTGATGTTTACAAAGCAAGTGCCACTGATGCTAGCACCGCATGCAAATGGAGATAAGATAAAGATCCCCCATATAGCCTTAACAGACTGTAGGGGCAAGTGCTGTTAGCGAGCACCTATGAAGGCCGGAACGGTACACAAGGGGGTGGGTGGCCAGCACCACGCCCGATCACCTTTGTCTCCCTAGTGGCGATGTTTACACACCGCACCAGGTACTCATTTGAGGCTGAGTCGACCTAGGGGAGGCCCGGGACCGGTTCAGATAATCGTTACTGGTGTTGGCCGTAAGCGGGAATCGAACCCGTGTCGCCGGGTTCATAGCGCAGCGCGCTAACCGCTACACTATCGCTCCCCATATGGAGATAAGACAAAGACAAAGATCCCCCATATAGCCTTAACAGACTGTAGGGGCAAGTGCTGTTAGCGAGCACCTATGAAGGCCGGAACGGTACACAAGGGGGTGGGTGGCCAGCACCACGCCCGATCACCTTTGTCTCCCTAGTGGCGATGTTTACACACCGCACCAGGTACTCATTTGAGGCTGAGTCGACCTAGGGGAGGCCCGGGACCGGTTCAGATAATCGTTACTGGTGTTGGCCGTAAGCGGGAATCGAACCCGTGTCGCCGGGTTCATAGCGCAGCGCGCTAACCGCTACACTATCGCTCCCCATATGGAGATATGCACTCACTCACATGCACGCCTATTTGCACACATACACACACGAGTTCTCACATGCACATGTGGGTATACTAAAAGAAAAAATATATATTTTACAAAGATAAGGCTCACTGAGCATATATAGCTCTTGTTTCAGAAGCGACCTGGCCACAAATGATAGCTCAATGAAGTAGCTTTTCACGTGGAAATTTATAGCAGCTAAATAATCTTAATGTACGTTTCTAAATGTGGAGGGACAACTCGGAGAGAAATCCAAGCAACACACGGGGAGAACACGCAAACTCCAAATATACAGGCGTCTGGGTCGGGATCGAACCCAGGAACTCGTTCATACCAAGCAAGGTAGTTAACATCTCGCCACCGTGGCGCCCATACACATGCATGAGCGCGCACACGCCCCTAAACATACGTACACGTACGCACAAACACAAATTAACGTGCACGCACGAGCGTACACGACCAACGCAGAGAGACACTAAGAGGGAATGCAACGTGGGGTTCATTCTATTTATATTTTACCATTGTTAATTAATCAATAATGAATACACTTCAAACACTTTGCTAATTCATGCTCATTATTTATTCAACAATCAATATGGCTTGAGCCCATAGCTGGTGCGATGTGAAATGAAGGGGACCAGGGCCCTCCCTTAATTTGAAACTCTCACAGCAATTACCGCCTGCACTCCCGATCCAGCTGCCACTCCTCTTTAGCAAACTCACAGAGGGGCCCGAGCAAACCACAACAAATCAGAAAAAAAAACACTCAACACATTCGTCAATAATACCCTGGCCTTTAGGATATAAACATGTAACAGGCGACATTTTGGGCAATGGTCCTTCATCGTAGGACAGAGAGGGCATTTGAGAGATAGGGCAGGGATACTAAGGGTGGGAGACTGCACTTCACTCCATGAGGCCAGATGAGGATCACATTTTAAAAAAATGTTTCGCAGCAAATCAGGTTGCCTTTTAGAAAGCTCAATAGAAAAATAATGAGCGTGGTTGAAGGGATGGTGATTAATCCGCATAAGAACCTTACGGCAGCAGAGGCGACGGTGGCACCAAGATGATGGCAATGGAATTGTTCTGCCGTGAGCCCCCCGCCGTGCGAGAGAGCCCCTCAGTATCAGAACGTTTATTTACATTTTTTTAATTGAGGCAATGCGCGGGCCCCTTACATCACGTTGTGCCGCACGTACACACCGTCAACATAAACTAAACCGGTTATGAAAAGCAGGCGATAGAAAGATGGGGTGCGGACTCGCTGCCCCAAACCGAGAGGGGTAACGGTGTTTTTTTTATTAAGGGGGAGGACGATTACGAGGGGAGGGAAGGATATAACCGAAACGCGCCTGAAATAAAGAAAATAAAAACATAAGAGGCGACCTGGACGAGCGTGTTTACCTTTCACCCCTCCGAGTCCGGCTCCCGTCTAATCTGTCGGGGTTATACCCCTGTCTCCCGACCCTCATTCCAGCTAACTTATTTCAGATGTATAAGAGGGGATTATCTGCCCTCGAATTCCCCCTCCTTTCCCTTGAGCTTATACCAAACTGTGCTAGAAGCGTACTGTACCACTGTTTCCAGGAAGGTGGTTCGTGGTTCTTCCAATTAACCAAAATAACCTTCCTGGCTATAAAATTGAAGGTTTGGAGGAGAGCGTGTTGATGCCTTGAGCCCGCGGGAGGCTTTGGTATCCTCTATTGATGGGGCTTGATCTGTGCCACATAAGTCATAAAAAAACCACGCGCAATCTTGCCGTAAAGCTTCGCCACATCCGGGCAATACACAGAAGGCGTGGAGATAATTCTGCACTGAACCTGGAGGGCATCTAGGGCAGTGTGGTGAAATCTTTAAAAAAAACCTCCCTGCTCTCATTACTTAAGTGTACCCCATGCACAAACTTCAATTGAGTTTGAGGGAAGGAGTTCTTGGGCCTGTTTTAGGGGCTCAACTTATCCTATTCCGAGTCTGCGGTGTGATCTCGTGGGGCACAGACCTATCACAACTTCTTAGTGACCGGTCTCAAGACAGGGTTTCCCTGGAGCTAATAAGCCTCGGATAGGCTATCTTTATCTTTAGGAGTCTCTAACCAATTGATAATTGGGTAAATTTAAATCCCTAAGTCCTTGTCCAGGGGTTTCACTATTGCATCCCTAATTTGGCGGTATCCGAAGACTTTAAAGTGTGGGATATATTTAATTCACACCTCTTCAAAGGGAAACACCCCATCCGTCCAAAGATAATATAGGTCCTTTATCCTATCCAGGTCGAGGACTTTCCGGCAGTCCCAGCGTTATGACCTTTCCCCCCTATCATGAGTAAAGGATTCTCCATATTGTTGACCCCCCTATGGAGACGGGGTTCGCGGGTAGGTTTCTCATTCCCTACAGCTTGCTCGAGTCGAGGTGACCGCCCAGAGTGTTTGTGTCCCTCGCGGTCTGGTCTTGATACTTGCCAGCGCAGATCCTTCGAGGGAGCATTGTCTAGCAGCCTCTTGCTTCCAGCACTTAGCGATTACTTGCTCCTGTGTGTCGAACCAGCTTTTCGTGTTGTGGAGGCCTTCCGCCCTGTGATATTGTCGAGAATCTATGAGGGCCAGGCCGCCCTAATCTAATGGCTACGTGAGGTGGGAGTAACCAATGCGCGTAGGTTTGTAGTTCCGTATCAGTGAAGTGATCGTTGAGTGTAACGTCGCAAAGAAGATCTTCGGTTATCTGAGTGGGGACCATCCTCATGAAGTAAAATAATTTGGGAAGGATCATCATCTTCATTAGATGTCCTCTGTTATATAGAGAAAGGGGGGTGTCTGCCCAAGCAGCTAGCAGTGCAGTTGTTTTCTGAAGCGCCTGGAGTGAAGTTCATCGAAACAAGCGAATTCAGGGAAGAGGGCACCATGATGCCGAGGTCTCTGATATGGAATGGAGAACATTTAAATGGGACCAGGTCTTCCGGAGGTTTAGGAGATACTGCTGATAGGGGCATTAATTGCGATTTTGTTACATTTAGCAGAATCTTTATTCAGACTGGAGGAGGAATCCGTTGAGCTATGAAGCTCTTTTTCACAGATGTCCAGTGTTGGGACGGGTCAGCAGTGCACAATGGAGAAAAAGGTAAACAAGTCACTAAATGTAATAATAATAATAGGGTTTTTCCCCTTTTCTTTTTTCTGGCAACAAAACTTAAACCTTTTTACAAGGATTCATGTCTGCATTAACCACAATACCTGCAGTCAAAATGCAAACAAACAACATACTATGCAGGTATTGTGGTTAATGCAGACATGAATCCTTGTGAAAAGGTTTCAGTTTTGTTGCCAGAAAAAAGGGGGAAAACGCTATTATTACATTTTGGTACTGGCAAAGGAGGTCTAATGATGTAGAAGTCACTAAATGTAAACAAAAAATGAATAATTCGATTTATCACGCTTGGGATTTATCACGCTTGGGAAAGTCAGCAAATACAACAACAAAACAGTCCCAGACCACACCCAGATAACACACGTTCAAGAGCCCCCCGGGTTTTCGCGGAAGGTGGCGGAAATTGCTGTGAGTTTCCCAACTAAGCAATTGGCCAGTCATTTTTCATATTTGGAATACGACATCGGCAACACAACGGGCTGCTCTTCTTCAAGTGACGCCACAGTGGACATTTAACGTTCACTGTGAAGCAGACGCGCAGAGTGTCGTGCGGTTAATCGAGAAAACACCTCCCATCTCACGGCTTTCGCGATTGACGTTTTGCGGCTTGGCATCAAATTTTTTGAGTGGTCAGCCAAACGTGTCCCCGTGGGCTCAACCATTGGGTGACTGACCGTGCGATTCCCCGCCACGTCGTAACTGCACTGCTCGTGATGATGCTGCTGCCGTAGAAGAACACACACGGGGTCATCTTGTCTCCCAAGTGGCCCATCGCGGGTCTTAGCTGACTCGGTATTTCCAGCACAGTAGGGTGGGGGCACAGGTGGTGCATCGGCCCAGTCATCTCAGTCGACCCATCGCACCTGCTGGGTCTGCCCCGTGACCTCCTGCCAGCGGGCGTTCGACACTGGCCTCCAAGTGCACCTAGCCTGGCACAAGCGCCGTGGTGATGTCACCGCCGTCATATTACAAACCGTGAAACAAATCCTATATTCCCATTTGCCTTTGAGTTTGCAGATCGCGTATTTGCCGATTGAGGCTATTTTCAAGAACGTAACCCATGCTGTGGTGGGCAAGGGTTTTGTGTACACCCGCAGTATTAACCTTGGCGGTGGGCTCAGCGTGAATCTTGCGGCTGAAATCTGCCAGGCCACGAGCAGCAGCGAATTGAAGCTGGGAGTGCCAGGACGATCCTGGGAGACTGCAGGCTGATGATTAACGCTTAACAGAGTTGGTACTTACGCTAATAGCAAAAACACCACCGCTCGGTCACACGCGTGAAGCAAGACGAATTTCCAACACCTCACACCAGACAACCTTAAATGTCCTCCCCTGAGATATTCCTGTGATACCCCTCTGTTAAAATAGAGAAATCGTGGGAACTAGCACCGCATTAAAAGTCCGTGGCAGCTCCACCAGTGGGGTCCGCTCTCTCAGCCTTTTAACCGTCGCATTCGCAACACTCTTGTAGCCGCTGTCAGCATGAGTGGAAAGCAGTCGAGCAGGCTTGTTGTTTTCTATTCATAAAAAATGTTACACCAGACAATCCCTCGAGATGGAACGTATCATTTGCAAGGGCGTCCAGGGCTGTCAACTGCCATTTATAGAGACTCCATAATGTCACTTGTATGTACATTGTAAATCTATGACTTTTACAGTTTGTATTTATACACATATCGCACCCAATTAAACACAAAACCAAACACATAAATCCAAAAAATATAATGGTGAACACCACAGTTTCAAACAGAATGCTTTTATAGCTGGCTGTAACAGTTGCACATGTCGTGCCGGTGTTTTGTGACTAAAGATTTTGATGAGTTGAGCTGAAACGCCTTCACGAAGCAGTGGCTGGATGGAAAGATGGTGGCTCGGAGTGGCAGGCCCAGGTGGTAGATGGTGGCACCAGCGACCGGCACAGCACGCAGCAAACAGCTGGCAGCAGCTGGCAGCAGCAGCAGCTGGCAGCACCAGCAGCTGGAAGGCAGGCAAGCAGCAGGCAGGCAGGCTGGCAGGCAGCATCGCCGTTATTTGACATTACATTGAGCAAGCATTGGTAAATTTTGATGTAAAGCTTTCGTGACTGCAGTAATTCATATTCTTAGCTCTTTCGGTAAAGTCACGTTGAAGGGAAACAATAAAATAATTATATATAAAACAATAAAAATTCTCACGACGTTTCGACCATAACACACGATCGTCATCAGGTGTGAAAGAAGTTCACCTGATGACGACCGTTTGTGTTATGGTCGAAACGTCGTGAGAATTTTTATTGTTTTATATATATTATTTTATTGTTTCCCTTCAACGTGACTTTACCGAAAGAGCTAAGAATACAAGCATTGGTACTCATGTTAATGTACAATTATTGTGAGTACAGTAAGATTTTTTCCTTTATATCTTCAGGATCGACCAGAGGGTGACACAAGCAGTGAGGTGCCTGGGTGGCTCAGAGATCAGAGCGCTGAGCTGCTACCGCTGAGATCCTGGGTTATCCAGGCACCTGCCTTTGGTTAAACTGGGTTCTCAATTTCTGCACAAAAAAAACCCACCACCTTCAATTTAGCTCTGTGCTTAATTTGACTAAATTCCACCTCTGATAATGAAAATATCGATTTTATTGTCTTGCGGTGAACATTGCTCTTGGTGGGGAAGTGTTGCCTCCTAATGTGCAAATCAAGTCACGTGACGGCATCTCAGGAGGTGGCTCTATTATATCCACTTACGTGGGCCGTTCTCTAACACGAAAGCTCTGCAAGATTTGGCTACTTTGACCCAACGATATGACGCTGATGGTGCAATCGGGGATAGATTTACTAAAAAACAGGAGTGGGCGAACCCCTGCTCCCCCACGCTGGGGGGCGGTGCCCCCCAGCGTGGGGGAGCGGATTGGTTGCCTTGCACCGTGACAGACACTCGGGGTGGGAAGTAACTGCCTGGGGTCACGTGCTCGCCTGTTCCGGCGACACGGACTTGGAGTCACCGTCGGACTCACTTCCTCCGTGCCTTCCAGCGGCCAAAAGCAGCCAACAGTAGCTCCGTGCCTGGCGTGATGACGCGGCGCGGCACGACCGCAACGCACACGCGCGTACGTTCACGTGTGTGTGTGTCAAGCGACGGGGTAGCGGTGTGCGCTGCCACCCCGGCAATGATTTTTTTATCCTCGGTATTGGGTGATACTTTTTGTGTTTAGCTTGTTGTCCCCCCGCACCTCCGATTAGCACGGTTGGCTACTTACGGTGCGAAAGAAGTTCAACATACTCACTTACAATTCCTATCCTAAACATTCGTGACGACCGATTATGATGCATGAACGTCAGTGCCGGGGAGACGGCAAAGTGGTCGGGCATGGGTTGCGCTACACCACGATTCTCGTGTGCCATTCTAACCCTTAATGGCTTTTGGTGAGTAGCACTTGCCATCCACAGTCTACAAAGATAAACAAGGCAGCACGACGTCTGTGTGTGTGTGCGCACGCGTGCACATGGTGTGGAGCGGTAGCGCAGTGGTTTGTATGCCGTGCTCCTCTGCAGCCTGAGTTCGATTCCCATTCATCGGTGACATAAAATCTGATCCGGTCCTGAATCTCCCCTTTGTGGATTCGACCTTCAAATAGCAACCTGGTGTGGTGTGTGTGCACAAAGGCAGCAGGGCGTGTTGCTGGAAACCCACCCCCTCAAGTTCTGCGTTGAATAAAAAATACTTCTGCTCGCTAACAGCCCCAACAGTCTGTTAAAGGCTACAATGGGGGATCGTTGTGTGTGTGTGCGTGCGTGCAGGTGAAGACGAAGACCATGGCGCAGTGTGTGGAGTACTATTACAGCTGGAAGAAGCTGCTGAGACTCGACCGCAAACACAGCGCCCGGCACAACGAAGGGGGGCACCAAGGGAACGCGGTAACAGCCACGCGCCCCCTTCCCCAAAGCACACACACAGTAAACATACAACGTTGGGCCAACGTTGGCCTGTGGTTGGAAGTTCTAGACCAAAGTTGGCCCCAGGATTCCATGTTTACCAGGCACACACACAAAGATCCCTTCGTATAGCTTTTACAGACTGTTGGGGTAAGTGCTGTTAGCGAGCACCTATAAAGGCTGGTACGGCACACGAGAGGGTGGGTGGCCAGCACCACGCCCGACTGCCTTTTCCCTAGTGGCGATGCTGACATACCGCACCAGGTACTAATTTGAGTATGGTCAACCATGGTCAGACACGCGCACTCACAAACGTACGCACGCTGAGCACATAAAGATTCACGTCCCCACAACCACAGAGATGAGATGAATTGTCACAATTTCGATTCAAGAATATTTAATTTTTCGTCCAATTATCACCGTCTCATTTGTATTGTACGTATGTAAGTTGCCTGTTTTGTACAGTTTTGTTAGCTGCATTAAAATAATTTTGACATGAGTTTATTGTCCACGTATAATTTGTAGAAACCCCTACTAATTAATTCCCACACCCATGACTCGATGCACGTAAGAATGAATTTCAGTTTTAATCACTGCATCGTTATGTGTTTAATATATAAACACACACACTCGCGTAGCCTTGCGCGTGCTACTCGCGAGCACGAGCGTGGCCTTGTGAGTGCTATTCGTGAGCACCTATTAAGGCTGCGACGGTGCACAGGGGGCTGCGGTGGCCACCCTGCATCCTCCCGAGCGATGACAGCCACCACCATCATCGTCTTCCTCCTCCTCCTCTAGCTGCAGCCGGTGCTCAGCGGCGGCGGCGGATGCGGTGCCAGCGAGGGCGCCTCGGAGGAGGTGGTGAGCAGGAGCGGGGAGGAACGCCCGGAGAATGAGGCGACGGCGGCGGACGCGCTGGGAGGCAGCCCGGGGGGCGCCCCCCCGGTGACGGCGGCGCAACACGCCGCCGTCACGCGCCTCGCCCCCTCCTTCCCGTGCGACGTCGTGGGCTGCCGGGCTGTGAGTGACCGCACGCCAACCCCTTCCTTTCCCTCTCCGTCCACCGGGGCGTTGCCCGTCTCTCCCTCCCGGGGCCGCCGCGAACGGCCCGCGGCTTCGCGTCACGTGGGCTCCACGGCTGCGTGCGACCCACCGCTCCCCGTGTTTGTTCGTCGCTCAGGGCACCTTGGCTGAACTAATTGGGGGAAAAAAACTGTCCTGGAGGGTGGCAATGCCGCGTTTTTAGTTGATGCCCACTCGGTCGCTTGTCAATGCAAGGGCCATTTTCAGTGACAAGTGACTGATTTGTGAACGTGTCACAGGGAGCGGTGGCACAGTGGTTAGCACACTCGGATTAGCACGGTTGGCTACGTACGGTGCGAAAGAAGTTCAACGTACGTGCATACGCTACGTTACGAGCCCAGCGACGCGAATTCTATTCCGGCTCACGACCGATAACAGTGGAGAATATTTGAACCTTCATGGGCCTCCCCTAGGTGGATTTAGACTTAAGTGAGTACCTGGTGCATTGTGTAAACATCAGCATGAGGTAAACAAAGGCGGCTGGGCGTGGTGTTGGCCACCCACCCCATCGTGTGCCATGCTGGCCTTCATAGGTGCTCGCTAGCAGTACATTCCCCAACCGTCTGTTAAAGGCTATACGGGAGGATCTGTCATGGTCTTTTGATGGCCCGCCAAAGGTCTCTTGAGAGACCCATTTGGTCCCATCCCTGCTGTAAAGCTTTCTGCTGTTCTATTGCCCTCTCTCATTGTCTCTAAGAGCTGTTACTCATTGCCCTCATTTTAGGAAAAAATGCAATGTGGTCCAAGATTGCATGTCTAGGGGCACGATTAGCTGTAGGATGGCCAAGACCACAAAGCCTTCTTTTCTGTAGGTTCAGCATACGACAACCATTGATTTCTTGAAAGACGTTCGTCATTCCGCTTATAACTTGAGAACGAACAGCAGATTAAACTATTTGTCAAAACGTAGAAAAAAATCTGCCTGACAAAATTGCGAGTTCGTTTTTTATTTTGTTGCCAGGATCGTGACCTGGAGAGTGGCCACAAAGCGTTTAATCGGTGGTGCGAGTGCTCTCCGGACACATCTATGACATTACAGTGCCCTCTGTTGGTGCGTTGCCAGAGGTCTGTCCGTCGCTCCGCTTCTAACTCGAGAACCAAAAGTAGCACGAGGGCGAGCCTCGTGCTTCCGCGGTCGCCCTCCTGCGTGCACGGCCGTGGTGGCAAGATGGCACTGAAGCTGCCACCGAAGTTCGTGTTTTTGCAAAGTTTTTGGTAATGCAAATGACACGGCTTTGCTTTGCTTTGCTGCTCACCATCAGTGGCGGGGAAATAGCATCGTGCGGTCGTTCGTTGGCATTTTTTTTCGGGTTTTAAGGAACATGCGACCGAAAAGGAAATCATTGCGTTGCCACCTTAGCGCCCTAGCGCAGTGTAATTTACGTAACTTTCAGGATGGCACCCAAGCACGACAGAGTGGTGCAGGCAAACTCCTGCCTTGTAGTTTAACGCTTTTTAAACAAAGCTTCACACCTTTTCCAGACAGCCCGAAACTCACAGCCGAAGTACGTAGCTGCAAGGTGAGAGTCCTTCGTTGCTTGCGCCACTTGCTCATTCGCAACACGGCGATCACGCGATACGTTGATCGAGTCAAGATGCCGCTGCTGCTGCCGCACCTCTCTCACGCCGCGCGCCGCTGTCTGTCTTTGCTCCGCCCGCACGGCCCCTAACCACGGCAGAGCTTCGCCTCGAAGCAGGCCCTCAACGGGCATGCCCGAGTGCACCTGGGCCTCGTGCAGCCGCCCCCGCGCGCCATGGCTCGCCCCCGCGGCCGCCCACTTGGCTCCGGCGCCGCCAAAACCGGCGCCGTCGCCGGCGTCGGATCGGGCGGGGGAGTCGGAGGGAGCGGCAGCAGCGGCAGCCGGGGCGGCTCCCCCACCGCGTCGTCGACGCACAGCGGCGACGCCGAGCTCCTCGCCGTGTTCCCGTGCCGCGAGTGCGGAAAGTACGTGTGTGCACGCACACACACAGATAAAACACACACACAGATAAAACACACACACAGATTCCTCCGTATAGCCTTTCACAGACTGTTAGGTCAAGTGATGTTCGCGAGCAGGTATTACAGACAGCATGGCACACAAAGGGGAGGTATGGCCAACAGCACGCCTTGTCGCACAGTGCACTAACCAGTTTGCTACTGCTCCCCACACATGCGTACACATACATATAAAGAGAAAGATCCACCGAGTAGCCGACTTTTGGGGCAAGTGCTATTAGCGAGAAACTATGAAGGCTGGCACGGCACACGAAGGGGTGGGTGGTCAGCACCACACCCAGCTGCTTTTTTATCCCCAGTGGCAATGTTTACACATCACACCAGGTACTCATTTGAGGCCGAGTCGAACGCACGTCGCCGGGTTCGTAGCGCAGCGTGCTAACACGTGCACACACACACGCATGTACCCTGAGGCAACATTGCCTTAGACTTTACAGGGAGTCCTAAACCAAGACATTACGCGTGCAGCATAATAATGGGTTCAAATCTCATTCATTTATTGATGAAGCATTCTATAAATACAAAGAGAGAAACATGGAATTATATATTTGTGTTCAATTTGAGTGATAAATTCAATAACTGACTGAAGAAGCTGTGATGTTTTGACTCAAATAGGGGAAATAATTTATTTTGGTCTCTTGCTAAAATATGCAAATATTCCACATGCTGCTGATGCTGCTGAAAAAAAACATTAAATGTTCATTAAAATTAAACGTGACACAAATTGAGTAAATGGTACCTGGGTGTGAGCTCAAAAGTGCCACTTTTACAATAAGTTCTGGTAATTAGACCATATTTTTTATGTCTGTTTATAAAAGTTGCACCTGTTGAAAAGCTATCACAATATATTGCAATTGATAATTGGGCCAAAAGTGTAAATAATTACTCATTTGGCAAATCTTTAGTATAAAAAACTAATAATTATGCTGATGTAATTGCATGTACAATATTAAGGGCAAGACGAATATTGAAAGTAAAGTAATATTGCTTTTGTAAAACAATAGCATGCTGCCCTCTTATTAGGGTGAAAATTTGGCTAAACGATTTATTCTTTGCATATTTTACGTTAAAAAAATGAAAGTAAAGTATGTACATTTTATTATACACTTTGTAAAAATATTGAAGATAAGAGAAATGAATATTTATTTACATATTTTGACCAATTTTTTTATGAAACAGAATGCAAACCAATGTTGTTTTTAACCAAATTTGGCCAAATGTTCATCGAAATGTTTTATAACATCTGAAAATAATGCACGTATATATTTTTTAAATGTATGGAATAATTGGACTAACATTCGCAAATTTTTGGCCACAACTTGACCAACAGTTTTATTTAGTTTTGGATATAAATTGGAACAAAGCATTCACGTATTATAATTATTGCAAATATCAGAGATACATCAGTGAAATGTCGTATTTTGATACTTGGGCCAAAATTGGGAGAGAGAAATATGATTGTCATTCTTGGAAGAAATTGGGCAAAACATGTTTTTAAATATGTAAAAAATAATAATTATGTTTTTGGGCAAAACCTAATAAATCATAAATCACGTCATAACAATGATACATTCTGAAGTAAGTCAATAAACATTGAATTGCATATTTGGGCCTAACCCATTCTTGTCAAATATTTTACCATTTTGTTTTCATAAACAAACAAAAAATGTCTTATTAAAAACATGTAATATTGGACATGAGACACTCATTGCATTTAACGTGTCAATATAATGGGTACAATGCCCAGCTACTGATAATTTTTGTCCAAATGTCATTGAAAATTATGTCTTGTGTGTAGACAAAATTTACATTTATGCATACACGGTTTATAAAAGTTGTAACTTTTAAAAATATGCCCTGAGCAGAGCGCTGCGCATGTGCGTGGTGCGCGTTCCTCGTCATCTGCCCTCGGACACGAGACTCACCCACCCTCGCTTCCCACCAGGGTGTTCTACAAGGTGAAGAGCCGCAACGCGCACATGAAGTCACATCGGCAGCAAGAGAAGCCAGACAAGCAGAGTCAACAGAAGCAGCACGAGCAGCAAGAGATGCAGCAGAAACAGCAGCTGCAGCAACAGCAGCAGCTGCAGCATCAGTTTCTGGAGCAAATGCTGGATGGTTCGAATCATACTCCTCGGCCCCCATCACTCCTGTGTCCCGCCGCCCCAGACCTTTTCCTCCCATCCATGTGACCTCACCAGGCTTGGCAGATCAGCTGGGAGCTTGGAGAAGAGACGGAGCGATCCCTGGAGGGAGCTCCGTGAAGGGTGGGGGGAGGGGGGGATGGAGGAGAGAAGGAGCTCACCTGTGTGGAGAGGCAGTTAGCAACGCAAGGGCAGTTGGGAGGCAGGGGGGGCAGTGGGGGCGGTGACGAGGGGCTGCACCAGCAAGAGAAAACGAGGGGCAGTGGCGGGGGGGTGGGGCAGTGATACAGGCTCCCCCAGGTGGGATCACACCTGGAACACCAACTCAACCTCGGCCGCATCTCGATCCGCAGGACTCGCGTACCCTAGCTTCCCGTGTGCGAGTTTCCCTCCGCCCGAAATGTAAATTCGGCATCGTGCGCATGTTGTCCTGCTGCTACTGCTGCTGCTGCCAATTGGCAACGTCCGTAACGGTGGAAGACGCCAGGCTGCGGCAGTGAGGGCCGCCTGCCGTTGGGAGGTCTGTGGTCAGCATGAGTGCTTTTACACGATTAGGTATTGAGTTGTTACTTTCATTGTGTTGGGTTTTGTCCCTCGAAGGAGAACGATATCACACAGCGCTGTACATTGCTGTTTTTGGCCGTGGCTGTTTTTGCCGCTCGTGCGTGCGTTTCTATGCTTAGGTTAGGGTGGGTGGTAGTTTGTACGTAGGTGGAGTTTATATGGAGTTGAGTTTCTTTTGTAGCTATGGAATCCATGCACTTTGGTACTTTTGAACAGACTTAACTGTGGCAGTTTCTGTACCCCCCGACTGTGATTTCATGCAGTTTTTATTTGAGTATTTTTTAAGAAAAAGATTTTAAAAAGTGAATATGTTGAGCACCGACAGTGTGCCTCTGCTCAAAGGCGGCGACAACTCTGAATGAGACTCTAATTACATCTCTCAATCCTGCGCCTCCCACTAACACCTCTCTGTCTCTTTTAGAAACTCTCTCTCCCAGCAAATATTTTTTGTAAATTCTCCTTTATTTTCTCTCTCTGTTCAGTACCTTCTCCCTTTCTCTCTCCTACCCTCTTTCAGGCTCTCTCTGCTGGGTGTTCGTGCCAAACGTCCTCTGCTGCTGTGCTATGCTTGAGTACGTGTGTCGTGTTTGTGTATTACCTGCCTGTGTGCCGGTACAGCATGAGGGAAGTGTGGTTGTTGGGCAAGGGATATTTTTAGGATGTGGGGAACGTTTCTGGGCACCGGCTGAAATGCAGGGTGAGATTGGCCATTGTTGGGTAGGGGTAAAAAAGATGACATGGCGTGGGGTGGTCTAGTGTCCAGGCACCTCATGAGGGTCAGGGCGGCCTGGGAATGGATGCCTCAACCCAGCTGTCCCCCTTGAGTGTGGCCTCGTCACAGTTCGAGACGTGGCACGGTGCTATGTGCGGCAGCTGGAACAAGAAAAAACAAATTCAATTATCACAACCCAGCAAGCTCGGTGTGCCAGCCCTCCAGAATAAGCGTCCCCTTTCTACTGAACTTGCCTGGTGCTCTCGGTGAACGCTGCGTCGCAACTGTTCATTGTAATGGCTTTTGGGGACTTTTATTTTGATAGGGTGGTGTGCCGCAGTGCCCAGCTGGATAGGTCAATGTCAGCACCAACTTTTGTGCTGCGTAGCCAGAAGATCAAAAAACGGAAAATTACGTTTTTTTAAATCTAAGAACATCTTTTTTAAAATCTTGAATATATACAGTATTGGCCCTACGCAACTGTTATTTATGAAGAGAAACAGCAAAATCATGTGCCTGAGTGGTGAGCGTGTCCCAATACTGAGTGCCACTAGTTGGTATTAGGGTAAGAAATGCAAACAATGACTTCTCGAGTGTTCATACAAAATTACCCAAAATATCAACAGATAAGCACAACGATCACGTATGTCAGTATTTCTACCATAAGGCGTAACGTTAACAGTTACCATTTCAGGAACTAAGCAACGTAAAATGTTTTGTAGAAAATAAATAAACATTGAACCAAAAATTGGTTGACATTTTGGCCAAGGGGCCTTACGGATGGGGAAACTTTACTACCAATCAAATGCACACACAAGCTGTATATACAATGCAGTAACAAACATATACTTCATGTAGTACGGTGTATTATAAATTATGCGCACAAAACAGTACGTCCCATGAAAAGCTACAATGCATGACACGTTGAAATGCATTGTAAATTATTCATTTTATAACGTTAAGCCATTCGATGAAGTACTGTATATAAAATGTACAGGCACTCAATGGACTCTACGCTAGGTGAAACAAAAGTAAGATTTTTTTTTTTAAAGACTGCTAAAACGATGAGCATTCTCACAGCCAATTTAGGCGGTCGTACAAACAAAACTGATTACTAATAAACGCAAAATTAATTTGAAAACACCCGAGTATTTTCAACATTAAATGGTTTCCAGTTACCGTACGAAGGACTGCCCTTGAGTTTAGCACCGGACTTGGTGCTCCACGATTGTGTCTCTTGTGGGGGGGGGGGGCACAGCACTGGGCATGACCCCATGAGTGCGGTGGGTGCTGGGCCACAGGTTAACGGGGTTGTTGGGGGGGCATAGGGGGGCCGCAATCGGGCAGGGAGGGGATCAGGAAAAAAAACCTTCGGGCACGCGGGTTCTTTCTCGTGGTTTTTGTACGTTTTAAAATTTACAAAAAAATAAAAAAAATCGTTTTGCCTGTGACACGATGACAAAACAGATCTAAGAGTATAGTTGTACATCTTTTGTACGTGATACTTGAATGTAACAACTGATTTCGATCTGGTTGCACTTAAAACTGAAACACGGCGCCTTTCAATTGTGTACTTCGGCCTGGCACTATTCTAACAGTTTCCATTTTTACGGCTTTTCATAGATGTGTGAGCACGCATGTTCTGTTTGGAAAAAAATTAAAGAATGTGACATTGTGGCCTGCGCGTGGGTTCCTGCGTGCACATATGCAAACAACCGCGGTAGGATTTGGTTGGAAATTAAATATTCATCACTTGCACCTCTCAAACCAACTGTTTGGTGAAGCTGGCCAACTGCGAATTTTTATTAAATGAAATTCTGAAAATTAAAAGTCCATAAACGTGTGTCACACCAATTGCTTATTCCCATCAGTGTGACGCATGTGTACTGTATATCGCTATTTCTATTCATTTTCATAAAACAAATTAAAGTAGGATTCACAGCAAAATTTAAGGTTGCGTACAACGCCACACAACCGGCCACCTTTAAATGCCAGTGGTTTGAGAAGTGTAGGCGATGCTGTTGTGAATTATAAGTTTAATATTAAACTTTAATATTAAACTTACAACCAATTCTGCTGCTGTGTGCAAGCCTGCAAATGCAGCTGGGGCTTGCGGTTAAAGCCATCGGCTCTGAGACGCAACATTTTCGTTGCCCCTCAATACGGTCCAATCAACGTTTCATCGTCGTTGGTGGTGCCATCGGAGCCGTTAATAGAACATCTTTGATGGTGGAGCTCAAAGGACGGTGAGAATGGAATGAGATTTTAGAGCAGCCGTCCAGCAGGCCATTTTTCTCCCGTGCACGTGCGGTGACGACTTCCCGCTACGATGTATTGTCATCAACGCCACACCGAGCCTCCACGAGACACCAAAGTAGGTTGATTACCCAAACATCCATATGCTCATAGGATTTGAATTGTTATAGCTTTTGTTTACAATTAGAATTGAGCGTCTAGAATTGTGTACTAATAGTTTTAAAGAAAACAAACAAAAGTTATAAACCACGAATAATTATAAACTTCCAGGCTTCAAATATTACACCACCGAGATGAATTTCAACCAAATCACAAAACAAAGCTCAAGGGTGACTGGACCCTTTAGATGAACGTTAATTGCAAGTGCAGTCTGCATGTCCCGTTCCAAGTGGAGCATTTTGTGCGGCAATGAAACCACATTGCGGTTTCCCATTCTGGCTCTTGGCACTTATATTGTGGCTCTTGGGATAATTCTTAATTAGGACTGCCAATGGAGTCCGAGGAGCCCCAATGCTGATAAGTTGAGATGTAAGTCATAAGTTCCCCCCATGAAATACACGAACCTGCCAGGCTTATTCTCGCCATTCATCGCTGTTGACACACTAAGCAAACAACTTGGATGTCTACTCGTAAATATTACATGGGTGGATAAGTCGCTCAGTGGTTCACGTTTTGAGCAAACTTACCGTCGCGGCTAAAATAAGTGACCAGTGATACCCGAACATGTCCTGGGACTGCCTTCGATGACAAAGATCCCTCCCCCCATAGCCTTAAAGAGACTTGGGGCAAGTGCTGTCAGCGAGCACCTATGAAGGCCGGCATGGCACACAAGGCGGAGAGTGGCGAGCACCACACCCGAACGCCTTAGTCTTCCCAGTGGCGATGTTTACACTCTACACCAGGTGCGAGCCGACCTAGGGGATTCCCAGTACCGGTTCAGATAATTGTCAATGTGGTGATGGCCGTAAACAGGACAGAAAAACTTGGATCGCCGGGTTCGTAGCGCAGCGCGATAACCACTGCACTACCGTTCCCCAACCACCTTCACCCACCTGCTTCAAGTGGCTTTACACGGGGATGTACTACAATTACAAATGAGGTGGCCTTTGTGAAAGATACAACCTCAATGGATCACTTAGGTAAATAATGATTTTACATTTTTTTCAGAATGCTGCTGATAGGGCATTCATCTAAACCCATAAATAGTGAAATACAAGAGTGCACGTGCAGTACATTTTTCCCACAATGTTTTGCATATAACACTTTACATGAAGAGGGGTAATTTTACCAAATGTGAAAATACAATAAAGGAATTCAAAGATGATCACTGGATAATCCACACTTCACAACTGATGTAATTTTACAAAAGAAATTCCACAAATGAATAGGTAAAATAGTTTATTTAAATATAATACATTAGCTATGTTATTAAGCAAAATGTGCAAATTTGCATATTTTAATGTAAAATATATATTAGACCATAAACTACCCATTCTCTTTCATTGGGAAAAACATTCTACTGAAATCTGATGAAAGTTATAGCACTGCAATTACAATCAATACAAGGAAAAAATCTTATTTTTTTTTAAATACTGTGGTGTAGGAAAGTCAAATTTTCGTACCAATTCACTGCCAAAGCAGTTTGCACTAATGAACAATTGGTATCAAACTCTGAAATGACCGATTGAAAAAATAAACATCACACGTACAACTTTACATCACAAGGAGGTTCAAAACACAAAAATTTTACATTGCAAAACGGTCGTAAACTTTAAACTATGTAAGACTTCATCTGTTTATGGAAACGTTACACAAGTAAATGGTTATACAGCAATCGAAAGGAAGACAATTTTTAAATGATTGTCTTGGAACCCATCACACACAATGCAGGCGCACACCCTTCTGAGGACGCGAGAATGAGTAAAAAAATATCCTCACCACCTGCACTACAACTGTTCTTTTTATTTATTGGCGCATTTTCCTTTTTAAAAATATTTACATGTGAATACGCATGGATACCTTGCCAGAATTACAATCAGAGACAAATGGTCATTGCACATGTTAGATAATTTAGTGTTTATGCTTTTTTTATGCTATTTACTTTTGCTTCAGGAGAAGTAGCCCTACCCAGGGGTAACAACTATGAAACTGAATGCAAACATCTAAAAACAAGTTTTTTTCTTTCTTACAATAACCCTACAGAGTTCTCAACCACAACCTTTTGTTCAGAGGGCATGGGGTACACATTTGCCAGGCACCACTCAAAACTTTGTGAACCATGATCTCGCTAGCTCTGGATTAGCATTTTTAAAAAAACAGCTCTCTTATGACACGGCCACTTGGGCCTCTCTCCACTCACTCTCTCCGCCATGGAAACAATTCACATTCGGCTCATCTCTGGAATGTTAGGTACAGCGCTGCATGCACGAACAATACGCCAAAGCTACCAAGTGCTTTATTTACGTCGCCAAAAGAGAAGCATCGCCACACTTAAAATGTTTCTCGTTGAATAATCAGGTAGTGCCTCTTCATCTTAAAACTTCATATTGCCCACGCCGAGTGTTATCGCTGGAAGGCAGGTGGGCCGTCAGGGCGAGCCTAGGAGCTCCTTCAGGGTTTTAGCGATGGCTGCGGGCTGCATGGACGCGAGCGTGATAAGGCCGGGTCCCATGGCGGTGTGCAGGCTCCTTGCCAACCTCACCGTGGAGGCACGGATGTTACCGGTCCCGCCGGACATCATACCCGTGCCCGTCATGTTACCGAGCAGGTGCCAAAAAACCGGCAGCACGTTCCGCTCGACGGCCTGTGGCTTCTTCGTGTACAGGGTCTCCACTAAATCTGGGGTCACAAAAACGACATCGCGACCTCTCTTCAATGCTTTGAGACCCGCTGGCTCACCGTAACAATTAATAAACATACACTGATGTAATAAAGTGCACGACAATCATACCATCAATGATCATCGTACTGGCTTAACGGGATTTTCCATGGAACAAACATGCAGTGACATCGAAGAGGTGGGAGTAACAGAACACTGAAATGGTATGGTTTTTTAAAAATTTCTTAACTTATCATTTTATGCTCCTATTAATGTAGTTATCCAGAACGTTTTTAAAAGCCTAAACAATATTTTTAAAATATCACAATGATTATTGTGAGAAGAATATGAAAACGATAGCCGTCTCTTATTTTCTGTTACACAGCAAAGGGTTCTCTACTCGTATACTTATCATCTATTACTTATCATTCCTACTGATGGCACAGCTACCAATGGAACAGCCGATGAGAATTTAAAGGTGTGGTTTACGCCTGATAAAATGAAATATTTGACTGAAGTCTAGAATAATAAAAGGAGTTTCTAACAGTCCCATAGGGCTGAACTCAGAAACACCTATCAAAAATACACTTTTAGGTGGACTGCCACCAAATGTACTTAATTATCCACTTTGCATTATATTTCTCTTCCACCAAACTAGATTAACCCAACCTTACAAGGACATAACTTGGAAGTGATCATTCAGTTCCGCTGTCATGTGTGGATGCTGGAGTAATATTGAAAGGCCACGTGTTAGATGCTCATTATTTTACAATTCATGAAACCACCATGAGATGAGCTGTTTGGAATTCTAATGTTCAATGCAGCAGTCAGAAAGAGGAACCATACCTGCTAGACGTTCCGTCATATCCAGTTTGACTCTTCCACTTCCAAAATGAGCTTTATTGGAGAACAACTGCAGCAGGTGTATATTGTCTGTAAAAGATCAAAAGAAATACGAAAACTGATTTGAGGGCCATGTGATGTAATCGAGACAAGTGGAGAGTAAGCGAAGACAACGCATTTCATGATTATCTGTATGGCTTTGTATTGAGTGGGATGATGGTTGAACGGTATGTGTGGCGCAGTTACTCGTAAATGCGTAACCTGAACTACACCATGATTACCCAATCATGGTATGTAATGATTAGCAAGGAAATGGAACAGTTTCTACACATTTAGCCGTTTCATTAACAGGAAAAGGTTGACAACTTGTAATCCAAACTGTATTTCGACACACTGAAGAAAATAACTTTTTATTAATGCAGATAGTCTTCTTCAATTGCTCAAAATCAACTCACAAATTCTCATGTTAAACACCACACACTGTTCACACTTGTGTCCTGTGCACAATTCAATATGAATGTGGCACCCACAACTATCAAAATATGAGGTGCATCAAAACACTGAATGTACTACTACGAGCATGGAAGCTGCCATGCTGTAATGGTTAGCACACTTGACTTGCAATCCAGAGGTCGCCGATTCCATCTTCTGGCACCAGCAGTTAAAACCAATGGGTCAAGTTTCTCACATTCCCCCCCGCCACTGCCTCTGTCCACCCAGAAGTATGAACGGGTGAACGAGTCGTTGATCGGCAGCTCGT